CCTGTGACAATGGCAGTGAGACCAGTACCATCGATTCCATGAGTGACTTCTTCAGCAGTGGAACGAGCTGAGAACCCAGATACTCCTTTCCACCAAAAAGGCCACATTTTTTTCTTTGTTTCTCTTCTTAATCTCCCAAACGAAACCCTAGCTAATTAACACTCACACCTAGCTATGAAGTTAATTATTAAGTAATTATAAACTGTGGAATCACTTTTTCTTCTCTTGGTAAAGTAGGAATCTATTAGAACCGTAATTATTTTCATTTTGATTAATCCAAGATATGATGAATAAAGATACTCTATTAATCTCCCAATTAAGGGACAACAAAAAATGATGTTTAATATTCTACCATTCAACTATAAAACGATAATACACGAAGTTGCAAAAAAAACCTGTTCACTGTCGAAGGGATTTTACAGCAGAAAGTTGCATGTAAATTGGACAAACAAAATATCAAACAGTAAGCTAACCAAATAATGAAAGAAAACTCTTTCGGTGTGTATACCAAAACGAGCGAGTCTTACAGGTTTTTTTAAAATCCTCAGAGAGAAAAACATGAGCCAAGTTTTCATTAATCCTCAAAACAAGACAAGATTTGGCTAAAAAGAGGAGGAAGAGACTGTCATGTGAAATTCAGAGATCACTTTCATTCCATGGAGTCTGAGACTGAGACCAAAAAAATATTACTCAACGCTGTGTTGGCCTGGGCTTTGAGCTTCCAAATGCGGAGGGCCGGCGTTCTTCACTTCCTCTAGGACCACTGCCCCAACGGTCTCCTCCTCCTCCTTCAGCCGGAGGAGGTGCAGTTCTTTCCCTGCCACTGCTCCACCTTTCAGGTCTCTGAGTAGATGGTCCTCTGCTGCTTCCCCAATGGTCATCCGCTGGAGGAGGCGGTCCACGGTTTGACCAGCGGTCAGTTTCTGGAAGTGCTGGTGTTGGTGCTAATGGCCCAGAGCCGTCAGTGGTCTGACGCTGCTTGAACTTGGGAACATATTTAGCAGGAC